GCCTCGTGTGCCACTTTTTTGTTCTTACCACATTTTGACGTCATCTGTGATCTATTACTGAACAGACGCACGGCAACATGGAATCTATTCGTTAAATAGACTTTGTTATTACGTGACAACATTTTATCTCTCATATCCGATTTGAGTAAGTGAATACTGGCTCATCAGACACTCCTGGAAATTGCGCTGGACCCACACGCACCGTCTTTTCACGATGCGTTAATGTGCAGAGCCTACAGTTTACGAGTATTAGACCGACCTCCCAACCACCAAGCTATAAGCAGAAGATATTAAACACATAAACAATCAATAAGAATAATTAGGTAATTGCAAGAAGTATAAGTTGACCAAACTACAAACACAGCATCACACACTACAACACTGAACGCAGATACCAACCTGATGTACTACCAGGGCTGCTAGATCTATATTCGCTGACCGGACATTTTGTAAATTTTTGATTAATTCGTGGCTGTTAAAAACAAAACAAAATCAGTCACATCACTGGCTTGTCATGCAAGAGTGTAAAACGGAGCCAGTACTACTAATATTTGAACGAATCGTCTTTCTTCAACGCTTTTGCTTTCAATACAGAGCACTAGTTTCTCGCAGTGTTTACACCGAAAGATGTTTTGGCTTGTTATCGGTGTAACAATCTCTTAAATTCGCTAGTGACACAAAACAGAGACAAATTCGATATTTTAGAATTCAAATAAGTTTTCAAGACAAAGAAAGTGGGAAGTCTATTTTAGCTACCATAGTTTTGGAACACACGACCATTCAAAACGAAAATCTAATCATAGAGCAGCAGCTCCCTGTGATTAGTTGTATGAATGTTCACGCCTAAACAAACAACATCATGAGTAACTTGAATCACCATACCTGCCTACTAGCCATTCTTAATCTTGAAGCGGCGGTTGGGGAGAGGGGAGGGGGGAGGGGAGCGGGGTACGAATGGAAAAAAGTTATAACTAATACAATTTAGAATAGAGCCTCCAGTGCCTCTTCGGGGCTTGAAATTACAAGTAAACCCAACGTATTTTTAACTGGCCGAACATCGAATATTTCTGACGTCAACGGTAAAGAATTTATATTCTCCTTCGGCAGCTCAGGAATACATCGGGGATTCAAGGAAGTGAAGTGAAGGAACACAAAACAGACTAATAGACTTATCTACCTGGGGTTGATTTCCAGTGTAGGCTGAAATATCTGATACTTGGCCTTGTCAATGTCTTGGAACTGCTCCGCTCGCATAACTTTGAGCCAGTGCTTAGCTGCCACCATGTCTGGTACAGTCACCATCGCTGGGTGGCTCGTCTCACTCAGATGTTTAGATATCTGATGAGAAATCGTCTAAGAATTACTGACCATTTTGGATACAAGTTTCTCGTCCAGGAAGTTCTGCGAAATATCTCAGACAGTTCTCTCAAGTGAAATTGGTCTAAACTTGTCTCACATGATAAATTTTGGATGGATATATCTCCATCCAAATTTTGCATTTCCCATTTGGACGTTCATTATTTGACTATAGAATTACTTTGACAATAAAACACTCGGCAGAGACTGACCAAAAAAGGATAAAGGGTAATGCAAGTAACTGTTTTGTGTATATTACATAGACGATAAATTGTAAGACTCATGCTATACCTTTTCTCCCGAGTACTAATACTAATTACCTCCTATAATCTATAAACTGCACGTGGAATTCAATCAAACGGGGATATTGAATTTCTTATACCTTTACAACAGAAACTTTCTGTTTTCCAAGGATTACACTGATCCAGTCTGCTAACTCTTTTGCTTGCCCTTCTGTTAGAGATTCTGTAAATAAAAAATGTGCAATTCTTGGGTTGCACGTGACGTCTCATTTTCATAGTGGTTTGCACTAGCCACGGAGTGGTAGTCGGAGTCGTAAAAGCGCTTATGACCTAGTGAAAATCGAAAATCGGAGTCGTAAGCGGAGCCATAAGCTCGATGGAATCGGAGTCGGAAGAATCACAACGTTTCCATTTCTTCCGATTCCGTTTACGACTCCGTTGCTTACGATCCAGTGAAAACTATGATTGTCGGAGGTGGAAGCAAAAGCAGAAGAACCAACCAATCACAGGACCCGGAATCAAACAATGTGACTGGTCAATTCTCCCGCTTCTGCTTGCGACTCCGACAATGCAGTTTTCACTAGATCGTAAGCGACGGAGTCATAAGCGGAATCGGTGTTCTGCTTCTGACTCCGTCGGTTTGATTTCCACTAGATCGCATGGCTCTACGCTTCAGATTACGACTCCGACTACGACTCCGTCGCTAGTGAAAACCAGCCTTAAAGCGCCATCAAAGTTATTATCCTCATCAGGCATAAGAGGGGGTAAATTTAGAAACAATTACTGGATAAGGTTTTTGGGATATCCTGAATGATCAAGATCGAGGATGGGGTTATCAACCGAAACCGAAGACTTCGGCTGATAGCCCTTACCGAGACCTTGACTATTCTGGATATTACAAAAACCGAATCTAATAATTGTTTTATTATACATTGAACGAAACAAAAATGGAAGTCATGTTTTTGCTCCTTCACTGACGGCAAGCAACACAGAGCACGCGAACTTGACATGATTACCGTGATTACCCATGCACCGCGGTCATACATGATGTGATTACCCGTGTGACCTTGAGTGTCCTTGACATGATTACTGTGTAATCTGCAGCTAGATGACGTCACAGGCGCTGATTTCAAAAATTCACTGTACGTTTTCGGCAAATCAGAGAAGGGATAGAGTTCAATGTATAATAGCGGAGCTCCGGCGAGGTCATCGAGGTCTCGTGCTTTTTTTGACCAGGTACTAGGTTTTCGATTGGATCGCGGGCTCAAGCCAGGTTATTACTCTGGGGAGAGGGAGGGAGTACATGCAAAGGCAAAATTTCGGCGCAAATTAAACCTTGGTGCGTTGTTGACTTTTCTTCCGACATATTCCTTGCAAAATCGTCTCTTAGAAAGTCCCTGATACATTACGTACGTAATTTCTACAGTCTTGGGTACGCTCATTAGATATGATTTTTTAAAATATAACTAGAAAAAATACTGAAACCACACGCTGAACAATCACATGCTCATAATTGATCATTTTTTGAGTTCTGATTCAGGGAAAAAAATATTCTTTTCATTTATGGTTAATTATTGTAATCAGGAGCTCCGCTTTTAGGCTTGGCTCAATCTATATATTAATATCTGTTAACAATTTTTCAGCTCAATAGGTTGCTTCTTCTGGAAACAGGCATATTTTGAATTTCAGAGTTATGACGGTGCGTGACGTAAAGCTACGAACGCGTTTGTCGAAAAATATATTTTTAGAAGTTAAAGTATTAGGAAAAGTTCTTATTTAAATGTTTGCTTGATCAGTTCAGATAATTAATCGCCTAGATAGCCAAAGTAAGTTCCAGATGTTTACACTATTTTCTGGCCGGGTTGGTGTACCATGGAGGTACACCAACATGGCGGCTCCATACTGGGATCTGTAAATTTGTGCAAAATATCTCGACCAATAAGTTTGGGAAAACGTACAGACCTAAAACTTGGAGAAATGTCTTCTTTATTTATCTCCTATAACATCATAATTTCTTGACTTTACACACTGAATGGTTTTCGAATTATTTTCTTATTGCGTGACAGTGCAACTCAAGAATACATGTATGTACTTATCCCGTAAGATAGAGCGAGTGTGACTTTGTGGACCACCGAGCATGTCCTCACAGTCAATTAGGAAACAAGGTGACTCGTGCCCCACTTCAATTTGTTCGACTAGTCTATCTTATTTTTCATCGTCTCTCTCTACTCTACTGCAACAGCATTACTCCAAGTTACTGATAGTTGGGTTATGAACACTGATCGTGGTATTTCATATCATATGGATACAAACCTGGTGACTGGTCACATTCACTTGCTTCCGCTGACTCAACCAGTTTGGCTTCTCTGTCAACTGAAAAGTGATTCTCGGCAGCCATGATAGTCTTCCCGTCAAATTTACTGAGGTAGTGTAGGGCAATATCATCTTGTTCATTGTAAGTAAACAAAACCTAATAACAAAACATACAGATACCGAAGGCTTCAACTCACGTAAATAGCTGCGTGTTTGTATCGCTTCAGTCTTTTCAAAAGACCGGGATAAGATGATTCGGTCAGCAGAAGTTTTGCCCATCAAGAAACCTACCTCCACATCGTCTTTCTTCAGCGCCTCATAGTATGGAGATGTCTCTGCAACTTCACGACTTAAAATGGAAGCAGTAAATATGCAATCTATTAGTTGTCGACATCATTACGAAGAACAGATAGATATACCAGTTTTATAATTACATTAATTTTAAGTTCCTAAATTCAGTGGAATCGAGTGGTTTAGTTTTGTTGTGTAGTGACTGGTTCGAGAGTGGTAATCTGGAGGTCATAGGCACTCTTTCTAGTTACTAGCTGAATTTGTTCTTGATAGTCTTGATAGTCCTCATACACGCTTTATAAAAGGCCAGCCAACTGGTCTGCCTTCCATAGGAATTTCCACGCTGTTTTGTATGTTTTGATGGAATACCTGCAAACTAACTAGATTACTAAACTAGGCTAGCAATCGTGCATTCAAATGCTAAACATAAATTAACAAACTACTACATAAAGCACCGTGCAACATTGCCATCATTGTAGCAAACGTACGTAACAATTGTTGTTGTTCAAGTTGCTTATCCTTTTCTGATAAAGAAAAAGGACAGTAAACGAGTTCACAAATTTATAACCACAAGTGATTAAAGTCACTATGTACCTGGGAGCACACAAGTAATAGATATTCTTCTGAGTTGGTTTCATGCGTGACACATACACAGGCAGTGACGACAGAACTCCAGTTTTTTCATGAGATGATTCGAACAGCAAAAGTTTTGCTATCTCTTGTTTCGTATCTTCACTGTTAGTGCCAACAATTCCTTCACGAAAAAAAGTGCTACAATCCTTGAAGAATTTTTCATACTTAACTCTGTCCTTCTTTTGTTGTTGTTGAAGAAATTTGACAATTCTAGCCGATAGCACCTCACTGAGCTTGTTTATAAGCGCACTGTCTTGAAGAAGCTCACGACTAAGGTTAAGTGGAATATCCTCGCTGTCGACAACTCCCTTAACAAACCGCAGCCAGTTTGGCAAAACGTTGTGAGCCTTGGACTGAATAAGAACTTTCCTGCTGTAAAGTGAGACTCCATGCTCCATTTGCTGAACAGTGAATAACTGTGGAAGAGTTTCGGGGATGTAAAATATACTACGGATGTTTAAAGGAGCATCTGTCTTGTAATGAAGAGTATATCTTGGCTTGTCATACGTCTTCGCAATAAATTGGTAAAACTCCTGTCATAAAAACAATCAAGAGAAATATGCTAAATATGCTGACACCATTTTGTTGCTATATTTGGTAATAACATGTATGTGGATGAAAGCGAAGTACAACTAGTTCCCTCGGAGTTGGTCATCAGTTAGCTGACAGTTATAAACAAACAGCTTACTTGTACATTAACTGAAATCATTAGTCAACTGTCCATCACCAACAGAGGCAACATGTAAAAATAATTTGATACAATTGTGAAAAATTTGGAGTTTCTAAACTCCATAGGACTTCATAGGACTTCAGAAAACTGAATTTAAGGTCACCGAACACCTTTAGAGGTGTCTCGCGTCCAAGCGACGTAGAGCGTCCGGTTTAAACTGTAGAAACTTCAACCCCTATATCAAGTTAAAGCTTACAGAGCTGGCTATCAAACTACTACTACTGCTACTGCTACTGCTACTGCTACTGCTACTGCTGATAATAATAATTTTTATTTTAATTCAATAACAATTGTATTAAAATCATTGAAAAAGGGGGCAAAATGTAGTTTACAGAAATGAATAAAATGGAGAAAACCTGAGAATTGGAATGACTTGTTTAAAATGTCACAGAAACGTAGCGAAAGTATTTGCAGTTTGCGTCATCGATTGTACGCGAGAAGCAATTAAAAAAAAAACAAAAGAAAATAACTCTCAAACTTTACAATAGACATTCTACTATTTATGGAGTCTTACTAGTTCTCGCATGAATACTACTAATAGTAAAAATACTATATAATTATATATTTTTACAATGCCAGCCGAGACATTGTCTCAATAAAAGTTATTTTCCAAAAGGTTAAAATTGCGTCTCTTCGTTCTTGAACCTCTAAGACAGAGTAATGATGACCGTAGAATGGCAAAAGAGACTTTCGCCCGGAGCCATGCGACCGTAGTGGCGTAATCTTCTCTCTTCTTAATGGAGAGGAGTTCCGAAAGGCTGTTGTGATACCTCTTGCACTCCTCCACCATTCCGCCCGTCGTAGTAAATACTAGCGGCGTGAATGCTCCGTGATCTACCTCCATTACTCTCCTTCTCATTTTCATGATTTCAAAAGATTTGTTTGGGACTGAGATCTCGGTAGGAATCTGCATTTGGGTGGCAAACCCGGGCCGAGCATCAGGGGCTCTGTTAGCGCCCCTGTAATAATAATGATAATGATAACAATAATAAAATTAATTTAATAATAATAATAATAATAACAGTAACAGTAACAGTAATAGTAATAGTAATAGTAATAGTAATAGTAATAGTAATAGTAATAGTAATAGTAATAGTAATAGTAATAGTAATAGTAATAATAATAATAATAATAATATTTAACATTTCTATAGCGCAAATTAACATATAAATATGATCAAATGCGCTTTACAGTAACACATACAATCCTAAAAAGAAAATTAAAATCCGCAAAACGCGGCGCTTTGGGTCCGGAAACAAATTAAATTAGCGAAAAAAAAATTCGCTTTGACATGTAGTTTTTAAAAGGTGACGCTCACATTAAGAGGTCGGGAAACATTCGTCAAAATTTTTGGTATAGTTTGATAGCAAGAGAAGATCAAGGAGATTATCTCTTGTTGATAGCGAGCTCTACAAGCTTTAATTTGAAATAGGGGTTTAGGTATCTACAGTTTAAACCGGACAAACTACGTCGCTTGGACGTGAGACACCTCTAATGATATACGGTAACCTTGAAGAGACCAATCTGGTACATAGCTCAATCTTTATTTGACCCCTAAGATATAGCAAGACATGCAAACAATACCTAAATGACTATAATGCAATTATCATTGAATGCATTCATCTATGAGGAAATGTTAAAAAATGGCTTGCCAGATCTATTTCAATCAACAACACAGTCTGATGGCAAGAAGTCTTCCAAAAGTTACCTTGTGAGTTGATGTTTTAAAACCTAACCTTCACAACCCTAAGCATGACAACAAACATCAATATGATCCCCGCCCCCACCCCTCCTCCAGGTTCTAGGCTAAATCATCAAATACATTAGTTGCAGTTTCAACTTTGTTGGTCAGATGTCAGTGATCGTTACTAAGAAAAGTCTTTTCTTTACCCTAAAACATTCCAAATTTCATGCAATCTAAAAAAGTACACGTTCTGTTACTTTTGAACTGTATACTTTAGTCTTTGTATCAATAATAATATGGACATCCAGACAATTAACATTCTTGAGCGTGTTCTTTTGTTGTCCATGGCTGAACGTTACTTTTTGTTACAGCTGTTCGGATGTTACTTCCAAAGTGACACAAGTAGTACATGTCCTAATAGTTCCAAAACCCCTCGTACTACTTGAAAATAATTTTAATTTTTAATAGTAAATTTTATCAAACAAACCTCATGTTCTTCCGCACTTATATCCCTGGGATCCAACATCCACAATGGCTTCAAAGGGAAAAAGACCAATGAGAAATGTGGTAAAGTAATGAGCAATGCAATCTGCTGCTAAAATTCATCAACAGGGGTAAAATGAGAAAAGCACATAGGGACACTTTCCAATTTTTTGTAAATGAATACAGTTCAACCTCTATTAAATGCCCACCCTCGGGGAAATGGATAGTGGCCACTTAAAAGGGGCTGGCCGCTTAATAGAGGTAAAAACAATAGAAAAAACCTCATCGGGACTTTGACTACTGGCCGTCTTATTGGGGTGGCTATTTAATAGGTGGCCGCTTAATAGGGGTTCAACTGTATTTGGTCAATTTCTACAACATGCTTTCTAACATTGCCAGAATTTTGCAAGATATATGGAGACAAACTTAAAAGAGGCAGCCATAGTGCTCAGCAATTGAGAGGGAAATCCAAAAAACTATTGTAATTTGTGCAGAAAACCCAGTTGTAAAGGAAAGATACAGTAAGTGCATGAGCGATGACAGGGCGAGCGAGGACCTTTTGTTGTTAAATTTCCCTAGGTCTCATACTCTTCCAGCATCAAAAATTAAGATTTTGTAGTTAATATTCAGTGTATTCAAAAGTGATAAATCATGCTTAAACTTGAAAAAAAAAAAGTTTACAAAAACCTGAATGGTGTTAATGCATGTGCCATCCAGATATATTGGGAAACCAACAAAGTTACTGTATTTCTTTATGATATCTGTAATGAGACAGAAATGAATGTGCTGAAAGAGCAATGGCATTGCAACATAATGTACCAGTGGAACAATACAGTGAGTCTCATAAGTCTTTTTTGATTTAAACAATATGAATAATCACTTGATGACTGGCCCCAAGGGAAATAGTGAGTTTTTTCTCCCCAAGACTGTCAACACTGAGGGTCAAGGGGAAATAAAACTCACTGTTTCCCATGGAGCCAGTCATTAAGTGTTTTGTTATACCTCCCAACCCAAAAATAGAAAAAAAAAATTATTTGCCACAGTTTCAAGGTGCATGACCTGCTCACATGTGAGTTGAAACTTTAAGTTGTTGTTTCCCTATGGAGTTAGTCAGTTTTGACCCATGACACATTCTCCTCCAATTGGAAAAGGTATTTGAGTTAGGTGGTAGTAACAAGATTAATGTGTTTTGAACAAGCTCCAGGATAAAAGTGTGTAGAACTGTACTTTATTATAAAGATACATGTACAAGTGTTTTACTGGAAAATACACCACTCGTAAAGATAATAACTCATGTGAAACTACATTATGGACCGTAGCACTTGGCGTATTTTCCATATCCTTACTAGTAAAGAAATTGATGATGTCATGTCCTGCTTTTTCACAGGTGATTGTGCAAACACACATTTTGTCAAAATAATAAAAAGACATGAATTTTATTTTCAAGTGACAAAAACACAATATTTTACAAACCAGTGCAATGAGTGAACAAAATATTGTTTTTACACCATCACCACCATGTTATACTCTCTATATGTTGGACATCACTTACCAACCTTCATCACAGTATAATTTGTTATACATTTATTCATTTAAGTTATTTATCTACTCTTAACTGTACAAACATAAAATTATTGTTTTTAATGTTCAATTTATTGTTATTATTATTATTATTATTATTTATTTTTTGGGGAGGGTGGTTGCATGTATGTACTGTAGCAATGTAACAGGAATTTAGCTATACACACAAATTTGGTGTTTCATACATAACATACTACCACTGTGAAAATCATCTGATAATTCCTTTACATTTCATGTACAGTATATAAGTATGGTCAGCGCGGTGCTTTATAAAAGTGTTAACTACTTGGCTATACAATTTGAACACAAAATTGCTGTTTCAATACCAGTCCTACAAGAATACTGTCCACTGAATTTCTGATTGAGGCCAAATATGGGAGCTCTACATATTAGAATTTCTGTAATTATTATTGTTGTTTAATTTTATTTAATTCATGTTTATATGTTTTACATATTTTTGTGCTTAGTTTTAATGTAATAATTTTATAACATAACAAACTGGTCAACAATGAAACGAAGAATTCCAATTGGTTCCTTTATGAGCGGTCCAAATCAAACTGACTTGTTTTTTTTTAATACTACAATATTTTTTTTAAAACATTGTACAAAAGAAAACAATTATCTTTTATACTTCATGTTTACGAGAAAGTTTCAAATGAATTTTCACAAATAAAAGCAACCTGAAAATGAAAATATATTCTAAACTTTGGCACACATGTTATCAACAATGAATGGACATGTATGTCTATTGGCAGAGTTTTCAAAGAGCATGGTTCATAAACTAGCAAAAAAAAAAGTTTGACCAATATTTCACCAATGCAGATTTCACACTAAGTTCAATAACAAATGGAGATAAATAAACTATATAATTCAGTCAGCGTAACCTTCAACTGTAGTTTTGAGGGAAAAATTCTTAAAGGCTTCCTTTAATTGCATGACCACTTTCGTTCCCCGAGATACATTCTCTGCCTCAGCAATCTCAAATGAGCCAGATCTGAAACACCAAAGTATTTAAAAGTAAATCAAAGTCAAATGTTACAAGAAAAAAAAAAAAACTGCAGCATTTCATCCATCCTTTTGTTAACCAAAGGAAATATAAGGGATTTGTCCAAATAATCAGGTGAAACAATAATTATTAAAGGTTTTTTTTCTACAAGTAGCTTAAAAGGAACCACTGTTAATTTTGAAATTATTTAAGAAATTGTTTTGATGTTGAATTGGCTAAAACATGGTGCATGTTTGAGCTACTCAAGAGTGGCGATTCCCCAATATAAGCAAAACTCTGAAAGTAATAGGCCCTTTGCAGCTGGGGTCACGTGACCAAAGTTTTCTGTGAGAATTTTTATATTCTGGGCTATAACTTAAAGAATGCCAGAAATGGAAAGAGCACGTCGAAAATACCAAAATGGCCAAGTTTGAGGCCCCTGGCTTTAAAGAGTAAGTTTATACGACAGTTTGAATTTTCGGAAAATTTAGAGGATTTGTATGTAAAATGTTGCTGGGGAGCAAGGTCTTGCTCTCCAGCAACTTTTTCCATACAAATCTTCTTATTCTTTTAAAAATTCAGACTGTCATAAAATCTCCTTCTTTAATGATGGGGGCCTCAAACTTGGCCATTTTGATATTTTTGACATGCTTTTTCCATTTCTGGCATTCGTTAAGTTATAGCCCATAATTTTGTGAAAAACAGGTCACATGATGGCTTAGCTGCAAAGGGCCTATTACAGAAGAAAGCTTTTTGGTGACTTTCAGAACTTTACAATTACCGGTACATGTACATACTTTTTAACTATAAAAGGAATTACCCATCTGATGTCCACAAAAATCCCTTACTGTCTGGAGAAAAAGAACGTGTGTACACATCAACTCTGTCTGCCACCATGAATGTGGAATAGAAGCCCACCCCAAACTGTCCTATAATGCTCTTCTCTCTAGAATCTCCATTTCCTTGTTTTCCAAGCTCATCAAGGAATGCTTTTGATCCTGACCTGGCTATAGTACCCAGGTTACCTAACAGTTCATCTCTTGTCATTCCTATACCATGATCCTTTATTGTCAGTGTTCCTTTCTCCTGATCTGTGGCAATGTTGATTTCAAGAGGAAGTTGACTTTCTGCAACATCCTTTCCAGTCATGAACTGATACTGTAGCTTTTCCAGTGCATCTGAAGCATTAGATATCACTTCCCGAATAAAAACCTGCATTGGATAGCAAGACCCACTATTACATGTAATTCAGTTATACTTGTCATGTCATTACTGTGGTTTTCCAATGACACTTACGTGTTAAAAGAAGGCATGTGCTAAAACCCGTAACAACGAAACGAAACCACTGAAACAAGCGAAATGAGCGAAATGAAACCAACGAAACGACTGAAACGAAACAACCAAAACGAAATGACCGAAATGAGTAAAATACTAAGTAAATAAATGAAAAAGTTTAAAAAAAAAGCCTTGATCCCTAGCACGTTACTATGGCAGCCGGATCTCGTACCNCCTGAAGAAGACTAGCAGTAAGCAGTCGAAACGTCGCGATCTACATCTCAAGTGACTACATCGTGAGAGAGTAATATTGATGAAAATGGAACTCTTCCATTGTATTTTTACAATATCTGAATCAAGTGCAAATTTATTTGGGAAGGAACAGTGGAAAATTGAGGTGTTTACTGTTTGCTACAACTAATTCCAAAATTTGCAAACATTTGCATTTATTGTTGGCAATTTTCCAGGGTCTTTAGATCACAGAATCACTGGGCTGAAAGGCTTGTGATTATTTGCTAAAATAAATCGAGTTGCTAGTTTAACCAAAGATGAAACCAAGGTTAGCGACACCACCAAAATTTAAAATTTTTATTCATCCCTATTTATAGCCCTGTCAAATTAACCATCACTTCACTTGAGTAAGCGTATGCATCAGCGGGATTCTTGCTTTCCAAAATCCCTTGAGCTAAGTCCTGGATGTGGTTCTCGATACAAAAGGATAGCAGTTATTCAGACTTTCAGTTACATACAAAGGCAGAGGGTGTATCTTGGGACAAAACGAAAACCAAAAACTTAATTTACAGTTCTGTGACTGATGCAATACATCCGTTTTCTGTGGTTTCTGTGGTTGAAGATCTCACTCATGATTGGTCATAACACAATAAACATTCCAGACATGTTTTAGGTGTTCGTGGTTTTATGAGTTTGTCTGTAATTGACCATAACAGGGATGTCTAATATCAAAGAAGGATGATATCATTCAAGGCTGTTCATTCGCCTTCAAGCACTTGAATAGCCTGTGAATTAGAGATCATGCCAAAAGTATCAGGTTATACAAGATCTCGAATCGAGGTCCTTGACAAACAAGGTCTCACCCCAGTTGCAATATTAAGGTCCTTGAAGAATGAAGGTTTGAGTGCTAGTCTCGCTAGTGTTACTCGAATCGTTGAGAAGCTACGAAATACATACATACATACATACATGCATACATACATCATACATCATTTATTTGTTTTTGCAGGTTGGTACATAGGCAGCATAAGCCGATGTGGACCTACAGGCTCCGTGGCAAATTTACCGCGTTCTGGAAGACCTAAAAAGCTGTCTGAGGAAGCAAGAGCTTTCATTGATCAGCAAATGCAAACAAATGGGGAGATGACAAGCAGCCAGATCCAGAAGAAGCTGGAGAAATATATTGATCATGTTTTGTACAAGGCCATCCCAGCTGTGGTGGAGGTTCAAGGCACTGCCACCAAGTTTTAAAGACGGCTCTTTTCGGAGCCACTGCACCCTGCTTCGTATAATGTGGATTGGACATTGCACTGTAGGTCGCTAAAAATGGCTCTTTCAGGAGCCACCACATCTGATAAAAGTCAATGACCAACAGTAGATCTTTGCGTTTCATACAATACAGAATTTAATGAATTACAGTAACAAGCCATCCCTTCATTGAAAACATACATACTAAACTTGCACAGCACAATTTCCTTCCAATACTTTATTAAATTGGCCGAGCTTTGAATGCATAACAACAAAAAGCAATAGCCTGTTGCAGGCTCTCAAATGGGCGGGGCGAGCAGAAAAGCGGCCGAAGGAGAGAAAAAATTCTCTTGCTCACCGCCGACTATTCAAGAGCCTAGAACAGACCACAAAAGCGGAGAAATATAAATTCCAGTTTCTTCAACCGCTTATTTCTCTAACCAAAAGTCCCTGCCCTTTACACAGTCACACAGTGAAGTTTTACCTGCCTCCTTTTTTTTGCACTGTTTCAATTAAACACACACGTGTAATCAATCCTTCAAATTAGTGTTTTAAAGCTGACAGTTCGAGTAAAACATTTCATGAAATCATTTGTTTCTTACACAAATTGTTGGTTTTCTAGCCTTAGAAAAAAAATGAAAAGTCATGCATTCATAAACAACACAAGTATGTGAATGAAGACGTAATGCCGGCGGTCGCTTTGTCTCAGCTACTTCGTCGGCAGAGACAAGGCGACGACCGGATATATGTCCACGTAAAGCTGTAAGGGAACTGGGTCGAATAAACACAAGGACGTTGTTCCGAGCGATCGGCATCTACTCAAAATGTTCATTGTTGTGAAAGCATTCATAGCAAACCTTCACGCTTCAGAATTTGGGCTTTATCGGATCATTGATGTCAATTTGCTTTAGTGGATTTAACACAAAGAACTGCTGATGTTTTCGTTTTTATGTGGAACAAACAGAGCTTGCTGACTTTACGAAAATGGTAAGTGTTGGTCTTGTGTGTTGGCAGCACCGTATCCCAACTCAAAGTCAGCAAACTTGTATTAAAAGACTTCGCAAATATCATGTGTAACCTTTCACAGTGTAGCTGCATGTTTTATCCAGTCAGTGATTGATACGTACTATTTGTAAGGTATAAGCTTCGATTCATGGCACACTTTCGAACAATAAACAAAGATATATTTCGTGTAAGTTACGTGACCATTTGAACGTATGATCACATAGAGGAGTTCACAAGAAGGCTACTGAACTATTGTTGAATATCTAGCGAAATATCGTGTCCTGGCTAGCGAAATAACGCGATTTGTCAGTGAGGCAATCAAAGTTCAAGGAAAAATTGCTCTTTGTCCTAGCAAAATGTCGCGTGAAATGTCGTGAAGTTCAGCTTGAACTTTTGCGCGCAGTTTCGCGTGAAAAATCGGGAAAACAAAGAACGATTTTCGCGCATTTTGCTTGCATTACTTTTTCACAATACTGTACCTTTTTATTTTCACAGGGCCTCACTCCACCTGTGTGCATAATAAATGGGCACCTGTCCATTTGTTTTTTCAAAACACTACGTGTGATGAACTATTGTCTCATCCAGGGGGTGTAGAAGTTTCCTGCTAGTTGCTTAACACTGAAGAAAGCACATGGGTCACTTACTTTTACTTTAATCATTTTCTCAACAGAAATACATACATATTCATATATATAAAGTTGAGGGGGAAAGCCAAAAACAGGAACAAGTTCCCTTACAAATGGCCATCCAAACCACAGAAGAAGAAAAAAAAATTAAATATAACTATAATAGTAATAACAATAAACCGGTTATAATAATAACCAGAGTAAAGTAGCTTGGCCAATATAAAGTAGCTTTAAGGTATACCCACTCCTTATATTATTTCATACCTCTTTCTCTGAGTACAGTGTCTTAGCTACAATGTCCAATAACTGCCTTGTTTCAGCCTGGAATTCATGCTTTTGGGCTTCACCTAGCATGTATGTGGCAAAAGTAACAAAAAGAAAGATATTGGAGTTATGTCACATTTTGTCTTAGTAATCTTGTGAATGTGAGTCCAATATTTAAGGATTTACACTGTTAGGGTGAGTCTTAAGATGGCTCCACAGAGTAATCATTAATCGTGTTGTGTGCTAGTGTCATATTTTGAATGCAATTGGTTTTACATGTACACCGTCTTCTTTCAAACTTATAACACATAATAAGTAATGATGAAATATTGTTACATAGCTATTCCCGCTACAGCATGCCCATTCATTGGCTAGTTCATGGTCACATGACATCTAACAATGAAACTGTTACCGCTGAATGCCATGAGCAGGCAACATTGCGTAAACTATGATGTCAAATGGGAAACAGTTTACTATTACCTGCGAAATGTTGACTGCTGTTGCACATGATCAGAGTGCGCAGTTGAAGGTGACCTGATGTTGTCACTGGAATCTCAGCGGGTTTTTCAAAATTTGCTTTTGCTTTGCTATATAACAAATCACTTAATGACTGGTCCCTTGGGGAACAGTTATTAAGTGATAAGTGTTTTACTATCAAGTCTTGAAATTCTGAGCAGTGTGGTTCTGAAGTGTTTGAGAAGAAAGGGGTTAATATTTTTGCTTCAGGCAGTTTATTAGCGTCACTAAATCCGAGATTAGCATCATTACGGACATTACTGTCCCTTCAAGACACAGTCGTCTTGTGTCAAAGTATTCGCAAAGAGAGAGGTCAAGACATATTTTGCTTTCATGCTGTTTTACAGAAGGAGTCGGGAAGAGGCTTATTGTGGTGAGTAAACCAGTGCTTTATATCTTTTATTGACCTTTATTATGTTTTTCTTAAGAGATAATTTTTCACTATGCCACGGCTTTTGGATTACTCATCAATGCGGAGGACTGAAATACTTTAAAAGATGCTTTCCAGTTTTAGATCAATCTCGGCCCCACCAAGGACAAACTAGATATCCATATTTACTCTCCACAGCTTAAGACAAGTAACATTATAATTATTGATCCTTAATTAATTTGGTTGTCGTGTCAAAACTGTGGTTGGAGAGTTTAATGCTGATTTCATAGCCAATTTATAGTTACTTTCAGTAACTTTTAACTTCAGAAGCAGTTCATCAAATGTTATAGATTCACCTTCTTTCAAATCACTAATTTTAATTGGTTTTCCAAGTGCCTTAATGTGTTGTTTTATGTTGAGTCGAGGTGTATTATTCTCCAAAGGATAAAGTATTCAGTTGGCCTCATAGGTAGTTGTTCAGTAATTAAATTGACAGTCATTCTTTGATTTCTTTCTACAGGTATGAGAGTCCCTGTGAATCTGCCTGTGGCCTTGAGCTACTGTATTTTTATCCCAAGCTTTCACCATTCTATGGCATCATCAGGAAATAAAAGAAAATATTCAATAGTGCGTGACATAAAAGTAGTGCAGTTGACATGAATGATTAGCATATATAATAAAGACAATGAGCGTACATAAACTGATGGAAATATATGATAATATGGACAATTGTGAACTCAGAGAGCTTTTATTTTATCTAGAACAGCTTTATCACTTATACTCAAACATTTTGGGGGTTGCTAATCTGGTTTTCATGCTAAGTCCTCCCTGTCTCGTCTTAGTTGGACATTCAGCAAAAGTTAGAAATTTGTTTCTGTCATTGTCCTGTTGTAAAGTCAAATCTTCAACTTTCACTTGGTGGTGTTCTTGTCGCCCTCATAGGCCAAAGTGCTAAGTGAGCAGCCACCACATGGTGTTAAGTAGAGTGCCTCCTCCAAGCTGGCCATTCTGCCAGAGGACTTCTTCCTCTTCTTTTGTCAAACTTCTGCATCAGTTTGGTTGCTTTCCTTTGCCTTGCTCTCGCAGTTTCCTGGCCCTCCCTTTCAGGGCTTTTCTGGAGTTAAGAAACTCCCTATCTTGGATGAAAGACTTTGGATAGGCTTTTGATTTTAGATATCTCTCCAGTGATGCCTGCATTACTTTCAGGCAGTCGGGCTCGTGGTCATCCCCATTTTTCTTTTTGTAGCTTGGCATAAAACTGCAACAGTGTTTGGTCGAGGACATTGTTCTTGTACTCTTCTAAATTTGCTTAGAGTTTCTTTCATTTGCCCACTTTTTGAAAAGGTTCTTCCAGTACTCCGTGCTTTTCTTCATGTTTTCATTTTTGCTAGTCTTTTAATTCTTTGATATATTCCTTGTCAACTATCTTGAAACAAGATGCCACTGTTACAGAAAATTTTTTAGCAACAACTTCTCAATAGCATAAGCTGTTGCTAGGTAACCAGAGACCAATCGGGAGTGAGTAATTTTGCCCTCATCAAGAGCAAAATTTAGAAAAAAATACCCTCTTCATTGACCAATCAGCATTCAGTAATTTTGCCCTTAATTATTAAAAGTTTGTTGATTAATAAAACTTGATTATTTGTCATAAACTATTTTGCATGAAACGTGTACATCTTCATGTACGAGTGTAATGATTGTATCATAATTATGGTACCATTCAAAGGAACACACACTTCTTTTGTGTGCTGTATGAAACTTTCACTCACCAACTACTTTTTCATTTTCCGCAATAACATGCACAGTGTCATCTTCTTCCTCAGAATCCACATCCTGACAATTGAAAGATAATTATGCTAAGCATAAAACATTAGAAAACACATGCAACATCCAAAACAAACATTTTAAAGCTATTGATTTATATTAGAATAGAATTAAAGAATTGGTTCATGCTTAGCGTGCATATCTTGAGTTGCGCATGCACGCAGGAAGTTTGAAGAGCACAACAAAAGGGGAAGAGTTGCTTGAGGTGATAGCCAAGAGCAACTCTAGCTTCTTGAGTGCTCTCCAAACTTCCCAAGTGTATCCATAATTTGATATACACACAGCTAAAAGCATGAACCAGTTCTTTTATATCATGGTGACAACAACTTGGGTGCTAAAACATGTTTTATTTGTGACTGACTACAAAGGTCCCACAATGCACGGTGAAGGAAAACAAAGGTCATTAGGATCCTAACACGCCACAATCAGTTGAGCAATGGTTGAACCAAAACACTTACCCTGGTTTCTAAAATTGCCAATGAAAAATTTGCTTCTTGGAATTAATTATAATGAAAATGTAGGCAAACAAAGTCAAAAATATTCAATGAAAATGTAGACAAACAAAGTCAAAATACTCTAGTTAAAGTAAACATCTCAGCTTTGCAAAAGTCAAAGGCTCAAAGGAGATTTTGGATTGTTCAGAATAATCTTCACATCCCTGAAACTTACAAAGGAACTTGCACAAAACTCGATGGAAATTAATTGAACGAATTGAAACTGCACACGTCATGTTATATACCCATGGCCGTGCGTATATTTAACAAATAGATTCCATGTTGCTGTGTGTCTGTTCAGTAATAAATAAATAGATCACAGATGACATCAACATGTGGTAAGAACAAATAGGCGATGTTCTTACCACATTTTGATGTCTTCTGTGATCTATTGCTGAACAGACGCATGGCAACATGGAATCTATTTGTTTTATATAATAAAGAAACAACAGAAAAAGCTTTTTTATTTTAAAACGTTTTAACATCACTCAAAAGCCAGCCTTTGCCCACAAAATGTATACAAAATGAAATAATCTCATTGGTTGCTATGCTTAACAAAGAATTGTGATTGATACAGGAAAGTCATGCCACTGTCAAACTTGAGTCAAAAAAATTAGTGATGGTGGAAATTTGTGTCCTCTGTAGTTGGTGGTTCTCAAATCAGTTTGATATAGTGTCGGAGACACCTTATACNAATTAATGAATTGGTTTTGTTAAATTCGAGACAAAGCAGTGGTCTCCTACCTTAAAAGAATTTCAAGACCAATTTTGTGTTTGGTTTAGTCTCGCTCAACTGCCGACTGACACAACTTGAGTATTTTTTTTTTAGTCATTTTCTACAAAAGAAAGGGCTTTTTCTTTCTTCTTCCTGCTTCTTGTACCTGTTCAATGCCTCAACAAGACTTTTTTTGTACGTTATCTTTCCCCAGTCATGTAAAATAGTATCTAAATTCTCAAAACTTTTCACCGTTTTAAACACAGAGGGGAAAACTTTGAAATGATGACGTCAATCGTGTGTCTGTCCTCCAATAGATCATTGGTGAGAACCAATCAAAATGTGAGAATAACTTGGGTTATTATATAAAGAGATTCCGTTCATGATGGCTCAATAGAAATTAGGTAGGACCAGCATGCGCTATGTTACAATACATTTTTGCAGATACCTTGGATAGATGTCCATTGTCTGTCGAATTTTCTGACAAAGCTCTTCGAGAAATGTTTGGGTAGGCCCTCATTTGGAAATATTTCAATCCTATAGAAAAAAATTATAGGAAGATGACATTATCTTAATTTACAAAAGAATAGCAGTGAGATTATCTGCTTTCATAGGGAGGTACAGTGTGTATTAAAGATGATGGTGCCAATGAAAGTATCAGTCTCTTTTTATTTTCCAGATGCAAAGACATTTCACACATTCATTCCTGCCTACTCATATTGTCACAAAATTCAGATTTCAAGACTTAGTTATGAAATGAGTCTTTTTACCTTTTAGCAGTAAGGTATTTCATTTATAACATTTCACCAGCAACAGCAGAATACCCTACTTCTCAAACAATATTCTATGAAGTCTTAGCAGCAATTGCAGTGAGTTAATGAATTACTCACTGCATCAGGCATAGTTGGATATGTGGTACCACACAGGGCAATTAGCCAGCCATGCAGAGAAATGTCAATTGGCTGTTTCACAAAATTCAGTAAGCCTGTTGAGCCCATAATCATATCTATAACAAAATTCTTGATTGCAACTGGTTCTCTGTGAACCTACATGTATTTGTCAAGTAATCAGCACGCAATCATGTGGGATTACAGGTATCCAATTACAACAAGTTGTAATTGGATAACTGTAATTAGATACCTTCACCATTCAAATGTGAATTATGAGCGCTTTAATCCTACGTTTACGAAACGTGCTACTCGCTTTTTCGTTCAGAAGAAGCTCTCAAAAGACTTTTTGAATTTTGAAATGTTGTTATTGATATGATTAATTAGTAATTGGACTTGTGTTGTATAATTCAGGGAGTAATCATGCTTGTAATTTCAAATTGGCCCCGCGCTACGTGCTTATTTGATTTTAGTATTACTCCCCCGATTTCTCCCTGAATAGTTCTCCACTCGACCCAATTACTACCGTAATTATATAGCTCCATCGAAATCCAATATTGCCAACAGACCTATTTTTTATTAATTTTTGCAAACTGTCCAAATTTAAAATAAATTGGATAGTTTTTGCTCGAACGTTTAGTTTAGCTTTAAACAAACTGTCCAATTTGAGAAAAATCTGGATACTTTCCATCAACCAATGAAATGTCAAGATAAATAAAAGTACTGAGTATTGGCTAATCAGGTTGCAGCTGTTATCACTGCCATCAAATGTCACCGAGCAATTGTAGCTCCCTAAGTTTTCTTATGTTAATGGCAGAATTTCCTGACTTTTCTCTCCACCTTTTTGACATCTAAACTTTCAAATGGAGTCTTTGGCTAGGTTTCCAGAGATAGATGCTACTGATTTACTTGAGATGAGGGAGAATAATCAGAACAAGAACACTCAAAGAAGCAAAAAATCTGTGTTTAAGTGTTTGACCTGTGACGTGCTGAGCAAAGCGAAGTGATAAATACTGTACTTTAGAGGATAAAATATTTGCCTTGTTCATCTGTTTTTGTATCCTATATAATTAATAGGTAATAGGACTACATGCTTGTCCAATTTGAAATAATTGGATTCAAAAAATTCCTCGGACTGCCAAATTGGACTTGGCCTACGACCTCGTCCAATTTTGGCTGTCTTCAGAATTTTTTTCATCCAATTATTTCCAAATTGGACAGCATGTAGTCCTATTACATATACGTACTACTAATCAATGACAACTGATTAAGAGTAATCAAAGGTTAAAGTTCCAGTAAGGTTGTTGATTTTCATTGAATAATTGATAGACTACTGATTTATATTTATCAATAGATTATTATAGATCGATGCCCATCAAGGGGAAGCAGATCTTAAGCACCATAAAATTATTGCTAGCGATGGGCACACTGCACATGCCAAGGAACAAGCAAAACAACCGGCTGTCACAAGCTTTCTCAGACAGCCAAAATCCAACATCCAAGAGAAAGTAAGGATCTACTGTAGTCTAACTAAATGAAATATGCATGCATTAATGCTATTTGTTTGACTTTGTGTTTGGCAAATGGCAAGACTTAGCATGTTCTTGCCCAATGCTGAGGTGCAGTATGGTCACTTGTATAAGTTTGTAAGCTGGAATAATCATCACACACATATATCTAGGATCTTTACAGTTACTTTTAAAGCATCACATTTCCGCTCAGAATGATCGAAGGAAAACACGTCTTAGGGAAGTGGTCAAAACTATGTTACATGCTAGGGACCCACTTTTTGGAGGGAGGGCTATATAAGAGGCCATGGGTCTCCCGAGGGAGGTGGGGGGCTACTTAAGAGGCCATGGGTCTCCTGAGGGGGTGGGGGGCTACTTAAGAGGCCATGGGTCTCCTGAGGGAGGNTTGAATTCCAACTGAAATTTCTGGAATCTTTGGCATAATGGAAAGCACAAATAGGCTCGCTCTGTGTTTAAGGACATTTGTGCCAATTGTTTCTGCGCATCCTTACTGTGCACACAAATTCACCCGCCATGTCATGCATCAAGCGCACACTAAGTAATAAAATGAACAATTATAGGGCAGATGACCATTGCTATAGCTTTGCCTGGATTTAACAATCTTAGATGTTCGGTGACCCCTATTTTTCTTTTGATGGATCATTTTCTCTACCGATTTTCTTCATTTAGTGAAAAAGTGAAGAAAATCTATTGATTAGAAATTTGAATTTTTTGCAAAATGCACCATTGACTTCGTCGGTGACCCCCAATTGTTTTTGTATTTCTGAAACAGGTAACTCATTATCTGACTGCAGTAAAAAAATTTAAAAAATCTAAAACATTCTATCGAGTGGAACGTACATTTTCGCGCAAACGTCCTTAGGTCCGAGGTCTAAAAATTTAGTGGCTCGTTTGGCTCGGCAGGCGCAAATGAGCCACACGAGCCAGCTTGTTTGGTGGATGATTAAAAGAGGCCCTGCATTCTGTGGTTTAGCCGATTAAAATCGATTATATTGACTATATCGATTGCCTTCCAATGATCGATTTTCGTCGATTGGGCACGCTGGGAAATAAAATATCTAACCTTACCATTTGGTATCTGAACATCTGGTTCCGATTCGGAGTTCATTAGACGTAGTTTTGCAAGCCCATAATTCTGTCGGAAGAAAATATTGTGATAGTATTTCAATCTGGAAGCACGAGGCAGCAAACAACGCTCGGAAATACGACATGTTTGTAGTACTAAACCCAAAGCGGCCGCCATATTGGAATAGCTTGGAACCTCTCGGCCCGGAAACACTACAGAAAGGAGCGCGCGTGGCTTGTAGATCGTCTATTACAGTTACATGACGTAGTTACTTTGAGGAAACTACTGTGGCAAGGGGCTTTGTCACTGCAGTCCTTTTACGATCTGCTGGTTGGTCTGTATGAGTGAAAACCGTCATCATGTCATTTAAAAAATTAACTATCGCTTCTGTGGACTGCAAGGGAAAGCGCATTTTGATTCGGTAAGCTACGTTTTTGCATTCTGTGGGTATCATCGTTTCCAAACTTCGTGTACTTACAGCTTCAGATATGATCCAGGTTTAGAGTGAACCTAAAGCTTTAGACTTAATTTGTACTTCCTTTTCGGAAAAAATGAGAAATGCTATTTTTATTCGACAGAGTGGACTTCAATGTACCCCTGAAAGGGAAGGAGATTACGAATAATCAACGGTACGTAAAGTCGTGCAGCTAATCATGTATATGCACGAAGTAAGCAAATAATGCCTACCCCACCCTTCAAACTACAGTTTACGTGGGTTTCGAGGAGGTTTCTTTCTCTAGGTTCTGTTTGCTACACAGTCTATGGCCATCATATGGTACACTTAAGATAGCTGTAGGGCCGCAGAATTACCGGCGAATTTAGTTGCTGATATCTGACACGGCAGCCGTTATAGGCACTGCTTTCCTCTGTTTTCCTCATGTACACGTGACCAAGGTCACGTGGACACGAAGTGCATACATTCATACATACTTTATTTGTCATGTAGGTCATAAACTCATTAACACCTGCATGAAATTGCCAGCGACCCACCCCTAATTCCCTGGCATTTTTTGGAATATTTTAGAGCAAGCGAAAGTGCAAAAATAAACCATATGTGTAGTAACCACAAGATCAAGAAAGCTATTCCACATTCAATTGCCATTTTTCGACGTACTACGGATGTGCTGCATTTAACTGGGTTCTTTTGGTTACAAAGAAAAAGCTTAGAATTGCTGGGTTCTTTGCATTGTCACCTTTTCTAACATACCATTGTAATACATGTAAAAGACTAAAACCATCAATACACTGTGTCCAATTATGAAGAAAAACAGTACAGATAGCGTGGGCATTGAGCAAATAAAATGATCTCTGTATTGATGCCATGTTTGTTGTTTTATTGCAATCCTTGTGCGTGCACTGAATTGCATTAGCAAGAGCGCACATGAAAACTGTGTTCAGCCACCTTAACTCCAGCATAGAATTTTGAAGTAATTCATTTAGCTCAACTGGTGTTACACAATTGAAGTCAACTTTCAGCTTTCGTTTGTTGCACCATTTCTTGAATTTTTTGATCCCTCTTGAGGTGGCTTTCTTCATATTTTCCAGCTGAGCTTTTGCTTCTAATTTGTCCAAATCCTACAACGCCAAATCTGAGTTTTGACCGCTATTTTCTTCGATTACTTCAGTTTTCGTTCAGCGGTGATTGGCCACATGTAATAGAGGATATTACATGCCCGCCCATGGATATGAATTTTATCTTTGAGTGTTCAACTCGATATCTCACTATTGATATTGAGTTGAACACAAGAAGATAAAATTTGTATCCACAAGCAGACATGTAATATTCTGTTTATTATATAAACATACTAATGATGATGTTTTTGACGATTTTCCGAAGATTTCCGACCACTTTCCGAAGATTTTCCAAAATTGTTCCGAAGGCCAGACAAGCGCTTCTGAACATTTCCGAACATTTTGCGAAGATTGCTGAAAACGACCAAAGAAGATCTGAAGATGTTTCTATCTTACATCAACAAATTTAAGTGTAGTTAAAGGGACAAGAGAAAAATGTTATCAAAAAGGAATGATATCTTCACAATGTGAAAGATAAAAGTAGAATGATGAAGATGTGATTTTTTAGTAAAGGGAAAAATCCTGGTATTTCACTGGTGTTCATATAATAAATTGATATTAATGTTATGATCAAATTATCTCATTGTATATATATCAGCATGAGCCAGATCAGGGTATTAGGCCAGATTGAAATAATTGGCAATGATTCCAGAAGTCAGAGTGTTTATTAGGCATCGGAGATTGGAGAATTCTCCAGTAGCTACACAGAATTCTCCTGCTAGTTTGGATGGCCTGTACATATTTTTTTATTCACTCGTACAGGGCACGAAATTTAAAAAAATCTGCAAGTCACCATTTAGCGACTATTAAAGTGGTAAAAAATAGTCGCCAAATGGAAATTTTTAGCTACCAGATGGGAACTAGTTCAAAACTAACAAGACAATCTGAGATCGTAAGTTGGGCTGTAGCTAGAAGTACTACTACGACCGAGTGTTGATCATTTGCGGTGTGCAGCGGTTCTAAGAATGGCATGTGTGATACGTACCTTGCTAATAGATGCATGTCTCAAAGAAATATCATGAAACTGAACTGAAATATATATTTCATCATCAAAACTTGCTTATTTGGACTGACTGATACATGAAAGTGAAAGCTGTGGTAATTGTATTGAAGTTGATTTGAGTTGTGAGTTCACTTATGTTTTAGGGGAGATTGTGGTCACTGTCACGTTTGGTATTTAATAATTACACATAAGACTTTGCACCTGAGTAACAGAGTGCGTAAAGCCCTACAATACAGCATTCACTGTTCATTGCAGTTATTTCATATGTATTAATCTGCACTCCTCTGAGTTTATAAGTGTCATCAAGTGAGTGTTTATAATAGTCTGGAAATACTGTACTAAGCTCTCAATGGATGGTACATCTAAGAGGGGGGCGTTGGCAGTGCATTTTACGGTTTTTCTGGTTTTGCCAAGGAAGTTACACCCCGCAATCACGCTAAAACTGTAATTCCAAGGGACCATTAACAGTTATAGGAATAAATGACAAGCCTAGTCTCTTTAGCAGCAGTTATTTGGGTCATAGCAGCTGCCAAGCAGACTATGAAAAGCTAAAGATAACATCAAAGCAAAAGACTATTTTTCAAATATCACGTGGCGGGGATAAAATCTTGTGGACTTTGACCTTAGACTGTGGACCAACCAGTTTGTATAGCTGAATTGTGAGATGTCTCCCCTTTTCATTGCCGGAATAACATTGCGTTCACTCGCTGTGTTCAGGTGGAATAAAAGCAAAGGAGAGACTGTTTGGTTGTAAAATATACTAGTTTGATTGTAAAATGAGGCTGCCATTGTGCGTACACACATGAAAATTCTGACAATGGCAATCAAAAAGTAACTTCAGTTTCTTTTAAACGAAAATCATCTAAAATCATTTTATCGTGCAATTTGTTTCTAGTTCCACATTGCTATAGGTCTGTGGAGCCCATTTACACAAAAAATGAGCTTTTTAGACTACGAAGTGTTCTGCACTAATGAGGGAATACGCAGAAAGAACTTCAGAAAGTAAAACAAGTTTAGGTAAATTAAATAACAGAAAGAGAGATTCTGAAGGCTACCAAAGCTTTGTTAGTGAGGGCTTTTATTTTGGTTTTCGGTTTTGGACTTATTTCTTGCGGTTTTGTGGTTTTTGACGAGTTTTTACATGGTTTTTTGGTTTCTAATAGGCCCCTACGCCCCCCTCTTCTAATAGTGCACATGTACCAGAGGGATGGCTTCTACTATATTCGTCTCTTGCATGAGAATCAAATATCTTATAACTCCCATTATTGCGTTCGACAGGACGCATTTCTAATCACGTAATGCATAAAAATTCGAGACCTGTGAATCTGTCTATCTATCGGGAGACACCAATTTCCCCCCCCCCCCCCCCCCNCCCCCAAAAAAAAATTCTTCAGGGGCAAATGACGTCATGTCTATGCTCGTCGCGTCTCCATGTGTTCATGGCATCTCCATGTGTTTATCTGCTGTTACCGGCAAGTTGCGTGTTTGAAGTTTGAAGTTAGAGTTAATGGCGTAAAATGACCTTGTAACTAAGATTTATCGATGTCTTCACGAAATGTGTACGACTTTTAATCGGGGCAAACACAAAGGTGCAGTTCGGCTGCTTGTTGTCCACTGTCTTGTCTTCGACCAAAAACCAACACTGCTTTGAGCGGAATAAAGCGATGGAGGAAATGTGTTGTTTCACTTTGCTAGCTTTGATTTCTGTGCACAGAATATATTACTTTAACTTACCGAGTTGTATAGCTCGGCAGATGGCCATGATTCGTCATGCTTATAACTGTCTTACCGAGTTGTCTAGCTCGTTATAGCGGGTTAAATGAATGGAAACAGAAGCCGCACATTTAACTAGAGAATGTTGCTATGTAAACAAACACCTAGAAAGAATGTTCAGCTAGTTAAACGGCTTAGTGAATAACAGTTTATTTATTTTACATGAATGTAAATGATTATGTTGTTCTGGTCCCGTTTAGTCTCAGGTCATTGAAAGTAAATTAAAAATAACAAACAAAACTTGGCATAGACGCAGAGCCTGAATTATGAAATTGTACAAACCTAACCGAATTTCCCTTCGGGCCAATGAGAAGATTTTCATGAATGCAAATCGAATGGGAGCTTTAAAATTGCTTACAGGCCAGAGTTTAAGCTTTTTCTTTTGTTTGCGTTTTGAATTCATGCTGAGTTTATCTCAAAAAATTTTTTTGAAGGCCTACTATTTTTGCAAGTCTACAGAAACTGGCGCCGTCATGCAATGTTTTGAACAACAAAACGGCCATCGTAGTCTATACAGGGGACCTCTTCGCTGGCATGGACTTTGATACCATGATATATCTGTCTGTGTAAAACCTCGGTTGTTCATGAAAAATGTTTATTTTTAGCAATAGACAGAGGTTGAAAGTCAGCTAATTAAATCATTTAAGGTACATATATGAAAGTGACAGTGTCAAATGCACTCATGATCTTTGATTACTGCTAGTCAGTATAGTAGATACTGACACCAACACATTCTATTGTCAGAATAAATGAAGAATAGTTTTGTGACAAGGGTGATTCAATGCCCTATCTTTAGACATACTGTCTGATATCCCTCAATTATCAAATGACAATGATGTAGATTACCCGT